CTTGCTCCAAATACGTTTTAGACGTGCTAAAAGCACCTACTACTCGGCCTTAAATGGCACGGAGTCGTGGGCACTGCTCTAATTTTGATTTTAGAGATCTTATCTTAGTCGGAATCGAGTCTATTTAGCGATATGTTAGTATACATCAAAAGTATACTTATTTTTAATTGTTAAACAATCTATGCCAGCTGCATATCAATTTGGCGATGAATTCCTTCGATTACCTTCCGAATCGTCCAAAATTAACTCTTGAAGAACGCCGTTTTCTAGATGGAAGAGTTTTTGTACCGCAATTACCTCAGAGTTAAAACCGTGCGCACCCAAACCGTAATTTTGAATACAATGTCTGTATATTTAGTCATCTGACTAATCAAATAATCAAAGTATTGGCAATTGCATTAGTTGAGAACACAAATGTTGCTCTACATTTATGTAGCTAATCAAAGATTATGTTATCAGCATTAATTGGTTAATAATCATCTGCGCAATAAAATAAATATCGAAATCAAACCGCTGATTAGCAAAAACATTTATTTATTTATGCATTTTTCGGTATCGCATAATGCGCAGTTCTTTATTGCGCATAGCCAACATAAATAAATTGTAGATAAGTTTCCATTTGAAAATGTTCAACAATTGCATGTAATGCGGTCCGTTTTGGTATTAGTTTTTGGTCATTAAATGTTGGCAAGTTGCCAAGTTGCCGACAGTCCGACCGTCGGACAGTTCGACTGTCCGACCATCGACGCCCATTTTAGTCGCATCATTTGGCGCCAGGCGTTCAAATAGAAATAGCAAAAAATAAAATTATTCTAGCATATCGGTTAAGCATTGCTGAACACGTACGATATTATGGCACATACGAGTAGGAAAAACGAGAAAAAAATGTATATATAATTCCCTGACAGCAATTTTACACAGAGAGCAAACAATGCATTGGGGCATGCCCCATATGTTGTTTCTGTTTCAAATGGCCTTTATAATGTTAAAAGGGACAAATTAAAACAAGAAGCAAGATATACGAGCATGTGACATGCTGAAATTAAAATAATTGCGTCTGTTATACCATCCGATTCAATTCTAAACAAGTAGGAATCTTTTAGACGGACAATATTAGCTGCACAATACTCTGTTTTTGCAAAATGTAATGATAATTGCAGCTGTTTATCTCTTAATTCTTCACACGATGCACCAGATGAAAACCGTCCTCCAAACTGACTAAAAGGAGATCTTAGAATACAAGATCATAAAGTAAGAGATAAGCTGAGCTTATGTAAGTTATTGAAGCCATTCGATCCGCAGAGTTGGAAAACAATCTATTTTGTATGGCATTCGATCAGCAGATGAGATGGGATCCATTAAGAACTTTTTATATTAGAAAAGTGACAAATGGATGCTGTCTTTATATTTAATAAAATAAAGATTACTTTATGTGACAAGAGAAAAGTTTGGAATAAATTAGTTCAATTTATTGTTTGTTCTCATTCTCATATGAACTAACAATATGAACATTTGGCATGCGGTGTCACGTTTCAGATGACTGAACGATACTTGAAAGCAAGTGCGTAATATGAAAGGAGCATGTTGTTCATACTAGCTGCTGCTGCTTGATATGTTTAGCACACACGTGCATATACACATACATATACTGTATGTATAGCATACTTATGGGGGCTGCTTTGTGTCGAAGAGCTGTGACCAGGGCCGAAACGCCAAAAAGCTGCTTCAATTTAATTTGACTTTGATCGCCAGCTGACGCAGTTGGTGTCATCCCCATGTCATGTACTCGTCCTCCGGCTCGCATATACATATAGAAAACAGCCCTATTAGATGGGAGCTTGTCGCATTTTGTTTATGGATATGTTCGCAACATCCGCGCAAGCTGTGCACAAATTACAAAACGACTCAAATATCGTATTCAGAACATTTTGTAATTTCAATCAATGAAATTTATGAAATTTGTATCAACAGTTAAATATTTATCACAATATTTTTTATGCTCTTTTGCAACGTTCTTTTTCAATCAGTTTTTTAGGCACTTGAATGTAATACTCTTTTACACTTGAGTTGGTTTATGGAAAATTTCATTTTTATAGCATTGCGTTTATAAACGAAGACAGTAGGATATATTTTTTTGCCCCATCAAGATTATTGTTGCTCTTGTGTGTGTTGTGTATTTTTTTTTTTGTTTTTTCATCTACTCTGCGAGTCTTTAAAATGTAAATACATAAACACAAAGTTGTGTATCTCATGTCGAATGTGGGTTGTGTTTTATTGCCAAAAGTGCTGCGAAGTAGCTGAAAACTTCATAAATCACAAAAGTTTGTTTGGCCATGAAAAGGCTTAAGGGTTTATCAAAATGAAAATTTATTGGTGCTCAAATACTTGGAATTTTAGATTTATGTATTTTCGTTTCCCTTGTCACTGGCCTTAGGAAATACGCATAACATCGATATCTCGTAACATAAAAACGAGCAACAAACTCGAAAAGAGATTTGCTCGAAACAAAACGAAAATAGAAACAAAACCCAGCTCTACGCAATTTCCATCACAATGTTAATGCAATTCTCTCCTTATCGTAACAGTAGAAAATTGCTGTTAATTTCAATTTACGAGACAGTTTCAGAAATGCTTCGCTGCAATGCAGGCCAATTTGGCCAGGTAAACGATACCAATTACACGTATTCATTACAATTGAATCCGATTGCGGGTCAGTTATGCTGCAGCAACACAAATACAAGCAACTAAGTATGCATTTTTTGTTAGATTTGAAGTTGTTTCCATTGCTGTATCCTGTGCACATTAAAAATAACTAGAATGATAAAAAGAAACTGAGGTCGACCTCATCTAGATTATTTCTAGCGGAAAGAGGACCTCGGATACCAAACATAGATAAGGTTTGTTTCGGGTAAGAAGTTTTCTGCTCAAAACAGGAATCTCTTCCAAGCTATTTAAAACGCAACGCCAATTCTTCTGGAAACAGCTTGTTCTCTTATCTATATATAAATCAAGTGAATGCAAGGTGTATTGATTTTCCGAGGGTTTTATATTGGTAACCAAAACCATCCAAAATCTATTTGATATCTATCCCAACCAAAGTGTCTCGAAATACCCAGAGATTTCCGTGTCAGACCTTACTACAGCGTATCTCCTAGTCGAGCACTCTCAGCTGTTATACTCTCACTTGCTTTTAGCATCATTTTTCAAAGCGACTGCGTTTCCTGCAGCATTCTGTTGCCAAGTGAAGCAGCTGGCATTAATTTTCATTTAAATTCCGCTTGTTAAATATGCAAAACTCTCTTTGTGGTCCAGTTGGGCAGCACGGAACCCGCAGCCCAGGCACCAGAACATTTTCTCACCAATCTCTGACAGTTGCCTGTTAACGAACCAGTTGCCATTGCGAGTTATTATTAAAATTGCAATGCTCCGTTCTCCACACCTTGGCCGAGTGTGTGACGTAAAATCTTTGTGGCTTCTCACAAAGTTGCAATTGTGAACAATTTCTTTTTGTGTCTTTGTGGATGTTTGTGGCCACAGTCTGTGATAAAGTATTTATGGAAATCTTAATGAAATGATAAGAGTCTCGCATTAAACAAGCTGCACATAAAACTGTATATTTCCGGGCACATCGGATTGCATGTTAATCGAAATTGTGAGCGACAGAACTTTCACAAACTATTTTTCCATAAATTATACCCATTGATAATTGTTAAAGAGTGTAACCGACTTTGTAATTGGCTTCAAATTCAATACAAATATCTTTGGAGCTTGTAAAATCCCTCCGGTCCAGTGGGGTACAACATAATATAAAGTATTATTATAAAAAATGTACCGCGCAAAGCCGGATAATAGTGAAATATTTTATATGCATTTGAGCACATATGTAAGCTAGGCTATGCTCTGTTAAAGGGTAACTTCTAGTTGCTTTTTCAGCTGTTCTACTTGGGCATTAATTATGAATAAATACTTATTCGCAACTCCAGGCAGCTAGTATATAAGTATTTGAGAATTATGCATTTTGAGCGCAATTATAAATGCAGTGGGTGACTTGGGTGTCGACCACAGGAGCTGTGGCAATACCAGTTCAACCTAATCTTCAAAGCAACCACAACCCTTTTTAGTTGCCATCCAAGTAGAGAAAAAAGTGGATAATTTTTAGCTTTGAACGCAGAGTCCCCCGCTGGCTAGAATACATAATTCATAAACCGGCAGCCATTTGAACTGCGCCCACAATGCTTCTCCGCAGAGCAAGGGAGCGATAGACAAGGACAGTTGAATACAGATATAGTGTGCGAAAGGGTTAGAGCCAACTTTGACGGTTCAACTTTTTAATCGGATTCCACAGCTCGATTGCCACCACATCAGCAGCTACCATCGGCACTTTCTCAGCGGTTTACTAAGAAATTTTGACAAAAAGTGCTTCGGGCCACGAAGTTTGCCTACTTCCACAATTTGAAATGGAGAAATTTTGTACTATTTACCCCAGCCCTGAGATGCGAACTGAATTATCTTATGCATGTAAATCAGAAATTAGCTGAGAGTATATATTGTGCAAGAAAATGCACTTACTTTTCTATTACGAATTTTGTAACTCATATATATTCTTGAACGGTATCAACAACCGGGTTCTATACATTACAGAGCTTAGCATTTCAGTTTCAGGAAAAAGTTATGTCAGAATCGACCTAATCAAATCACTGTATCATTTGGCTGACAATAATTCTCGGTCAAAAATTTTGTTTATACATGTTTCATTAAATATAGCTCGTTTGAAGTCAATAATTTTTTCTTGTTGGTATTGCACTTGGCTAATTTTTTGCTTCCTTATACACATGAGCCATTATTCCAACGTTCGACTGACAAACGCATTTAAACAGTCATGCAACTTAATTGTTTATATGATTTATTGGCTTACTAAAAGCCCGATTGAATATGTTTAGGTCTTAAAGTGTATTTTAGCTGTGCGGCACAGTGTGGATTGAAAGTTCTTGAGTTGCGGTATGCATTCGCTGGAGCGTGTGACCGCACGTTGCCTGTTCGGCATCTACTGGTGGATGGGTCTGGTGCCCCTGCCGCTGAGTTCTCAGCTTTTATGGTTGCTGGTTGCTTTGCTTGTACGTTGCATTTGGCTTGGCTACTATCTGATGATGCTGTACATTGGTGTCTTGTATTTATGGAATGATAAGGGACTGAACATCAGCTACATCAGTGGAACGACTCTTTTCATAGGCTACTCATTGCTGGGACTGCTGATACAGGCGGAGAGCGCACTGAAGCATCGAACCTACGCGCGCTTTGACATTTTGCGAGTTCAGTTGCGACTACGGATGCAGCGTCTGGGCATGTCGCGGGGCTGTAGCCGAGCCTGGCGCCTGCTACTGCTGCTGGGCACACAGATCGGCAGCGATGCGGCCAGATCCTGGGCCAATGCACATTATAGCATATCACCTGTACACATTATTTCCCTGCCCCAGAAGTGGCTGCTGCGCCTACGCTACGTCCAGCTGCTGTGGCAGGTCATGGAGCTGAACCAGCGTGCCCGCCAGCTGCGCCATTCGCTCCTTGGCCTGGCCGCTGGCAATGACCTCTGGCAGCCGTACGGCTCGCAGGAATGGCAGCAGCTGCAGACGCTGCGACTAAGCTTTGACCGCATCTACGAGTGCTACGAGGCCTTCAGCGACTGCTACGGCTGGGGCATGCTGGGGCTGCAGATGATGTGCGGCCTGGAGTTCGTGTCGAATGCCTACTGGATAATCACGGAGGCCTACATGACACAGCGGGTCTACATGCTCATCTACAATGGCAACAGCTGCTTTGCCATGGGCACACTTATCGTAGCGCTCTTCTGGTATGGCGACGCAAGTGCCAATAATGTGAGTATAATCTACAGCTCGAGATCACAGATGATCGCGCTATATAATTGAACTACAACCCCCCAGCTTTAAGCCCGCACTCCTCAAAGCATTTATTATCTTCGACCCTATTGTTTCCTATTGATCTGCGAGGAAAACAAAAAACGCAAGAGAAGAGCCCAACAAGTTCGCCACAAGCCACATTTAGGGTATTAAAAAACACGCTATAAAAAAGTAAAAGCTGTCCCGTTGAGCCACCTAATTGATCCGATAATCTCTAAGAGAAAGGAAAAAACTTGAAATTACTTCAATAATTATGACAGTGATGAATTGGTTGAGCTTTGACCTGTGAGCATGACTGACACAACAGAAGCTGACTCCTTCTGCCTGGTCTTGGCACCCAGTTAACAGTAGACATGCAGCTCTTGAGCGGATCGGTGTTGGCGAGGGAACTTTTTCACCTGGTGCTGTGTTTATTTGGTGTGCGATGGAATGCGCGGCTGCATCGGCTGCAGTTCGTGCCCTTTGCACTTTGGCTCTGCTGGTTTGTCGTGATTTGGTTAGGTGCTGCAAGGAATATAACACTATTTCCGGATTGCAAACTCGAGTGTCTGATTGCACTCTCAATGTTTGTTACGGTGACCCTAGCACATGGCATCATTTTACTGGACACCTTTCTGCAGCGTCGCACACATCGCCAGCTCGAACTGCGTTTGGATGTTTCCCGTTTGGAAGTACAGAATCAGCGACATGTGTTGCTGCGCGTATCTGGCGTCGTTGTGCCCTTTCTGGTGGTTCACAGTCTGATCGTCTGGTCGAAGATAGGTCTCGCGTCGCAGTGGTATACGCCAATCTTTTGGTTTGCCTCGCCCAGTGACTGGGGTGTGCAGCTGAAGATGATTGCGTTTCTTTCGGACGTCTTGTTGGCCAATGAGCGCGTTCTCTGTGTGCAACAAAGCCTGAAGCAGCTGACCCGACAGCCCAACCACGGCAGACAGTCGCCGAGTGTGGTGTCAGTGATCAGATTTAAGGAAATGTACCGAGAGCTGCATCACCTGTTTGTGCAGCTTAATTTCGCTTATGGCAGCAGTTTGCTTATTATTTTCATAGTATTATTCTTCAACTTTCTGTTCAACTCCTTTTGGCTAGTTAGACACACACTGACCCGGCTTAAGAGTCCAGTCTATATATACATACATTTGGGCTGTTTACTCAACCTAGGACTGCTGCTCTCTGCGACCTGTTGGCACTGCCAGCAAAGCTTTAATCATGTGAGGCATAATCCTACATTTGATTTTATTTAATGTTCTAAAATTCTATTTTTATAGAGTCGCCAGATCGGCTGCTTGATACCCAAGCTAGTGAACCCTATGGGTAGCAAGCGCTACAACGATTTGGTCAGCGAGTTCCTGTTGCAGACTTTGCATCAACGTTTTGTTGTGACGGCCAAGGACTTTTTCAGCCTCAATTTGCACCTGCTAAGCAGTGTCAGTTAAACGCTTAACCTTTTTTTGGGGGGGGGAATAATAAGGTTGTCCCTTCTCTTCTTGCAGATGTTTGCCGCTGTGGTTACTTATCTGGTTATTCTCATACAGTTTATGTTTGCCGAGAAAAGCTCCCAGGCTACACCCAGGCCGGAGAAAATGACAACCAATGACTAACAAGCGGTTGTGAAATCCTTTCAAAAGCGCATAAGAATATAAGAACAATTTACAACTAAAAATTATCTCAATACACAAACTTGTTCTTTAAGATGAAGTACACATATACATAAATAATATTCAGATATATAAATATATATATTCCCTGCTTTATACAGTTTTCAAGCTTATTCTACGTGTTCTTAACCTGATATACGTGTTTAGAGGATAAAAAGGACATGCAAAGAAAATCAGAGCGAGCTTATATATATACACCAGCTCTCTTGCTCGAGAATTGCATCCTAAGTATCCTAGTTTAATTCCAATAAAAAATAAAGCATCACAGATGTGCTTCAGGGCTTTTATTCTTACAATTCCCAACCACGTTTAACACAGACTCATTGACATGGTTTGGCTCAAGCCGCAAAGATTGTTAACACAAAGATGCTTCCTATGTCACCGCAACAGCTCAGCTCAGCTCAGCTCTTTGTTTTATTTTTTTTTTTTTTACATTTCTGTGAACTACAGTAGACACTGATGGGAAGGACTTAAAGATAGCGCATCTGCTGCCGTAGCTCACCAACCACATGTGCCTTAATTATTTATGCCGCCCACAGAGCGTTTTTTGGGCTTGGGCGTCTCGAGTGCCCACATGGAACTTAGACTACATCAAGTTTAGTTATTCTTAAGCAGACAAAACTACTTCACGCATATTAAACTGGCATTTCACAGGCTGAAAAACTTTTTCTAATATGCAAATTCATGCCGAATCCTTGTGCATGCCACAGAAAGGATAAAGTGGCGCCAGCAGCAGGGGCACATCCTTGAATTAACACGTGCGAGTTCGCATTAATTTGTAAACTGCTCGGGGGGCCTACACCAAGCTGGTGCTATGTTGCCTGTGTTTTATCAGTTCAGAGATACTAAGAGATTGAGAGACAGAGCAAGAGAGAGAGAGAGGTAGAAAGCCAGAGAAAGAGCTTGGGAATATAGTTTTTGTCGTTAGCTATGCAAATGCCGAGACATGTAAATATTATTTACCACATGGCCAGATGCTCGAAATGTAACTGTGCCGCCACTTCTCGTGTTAATTAACATAAAACAACTAAAACACTCGATTTATAAATATGTATGAGCCCCAAGCATTAGTGCACTAAACTATTTTTATATGCTGATCATGTTGAAGAGGTACCAAAAATTGACATGCGCTTGCACTGGATAGAAGACGGCTCTCACTTGGACTCCATAATAGGGTCTAGACCAACTATATGGACTTATTGAATGTAGGAAGATCTCGAAGAGACTCGTCTAAGTCCAGAAAGTCGTAGATCCTAGGAAGCAGCATGACTATCTTAGAACCTCTTATTTAATATAACCAAAAAAAAAGTTTCTATGAAAACCAGGCAACCATTGAACTGCTTGTCAAATTTGGATTGTTTTGCAAGTCATTGCAGGCTGTCAAAGTGCCAGCATAATATTAAAGAACGTACAGAGCAAAGTAGCGAGGTGGAGTTTCATTTTCTATTGAGTCGGAATTATCTATGCTAGAAGCAGCATGAATCCCAGCTTTGAAGAAATGTGGAATGGTTCTGGCTCCGTAAGTTGTTGTGAATCTGTGCTAATCGCTTGAGCTCTATCTTATTCAAGATATTCTAACAGCCGACGGGCAATGAGCTGGATGACGACATATTCGCATCGATGCAACCTTATCGAGTGCCCCTTGCGACAGCCGCGGGCAGCGATGCGCAAATGGCGATGGCCTACAGGAAGGCACACGCGTGGAATGTTTACGAGGCGACCTACGAAATGGAAATGATTAGCACAAAGACCATTTGCAGGAAGTGCCTGTTGCACGTAAAGGTCTGTCGCACATATGGCCACAACCTGAAGAAGTACGAGACAGACCTGCAGATGTCCAATACAGCTGAAAGCTGTAGAAGCAGAGACTGCAATTAGAGGGTATTCAAAGAACACAATTCCTCTTATAATATACAAGCTACAATTCTTTATTTATACGAATTAAACTACAAATAGTTCCTAAATCATCTTGGGCTGATTGGGCAACCGTATGCGGGCCATTTTGCTGGGCGGTGCGCCATTCTCTGGCAGATTGTTGCCCTCCATTTCGGCCAGCACCTGCTTTAGCTCGGCATTGGCGCCCACCTGGCAGTTGCGCCACGGCGGTAGCAAGAGGCTCGTGGTGGCCGAGGGGGTGGAGAGCGGCTGCACAATGGGTTTGGCCAGCAGCAGTGGGCCGAACTGGAAGTCGTCGGTCTTCTCCATTTTGGCAATACGTAAGTCTTTGACATCTATAAAGGTTTTGTTGTTCAGATTGGCAAAGCGACGCGCCTCGACTAATTGATTTCTGGCCATGGCTGGCAGGGCAAATCATGTTCAAAAGGAAAATGTTATCGTATAAATTGGCTTCTTACTGTATGATAAATCCAGTAGATAACGACGTGCATCTGGCTCGGCCTGAGCACCATAGCATTGCAGCACGTTGTCTATAAAGTTCAGATCGAATCTGAGATTCAGATTGGCCTCAGTTAATTTGTATTTAGAGTCCATGTGCAAAACTGAAACAGGAACAACTTTGACAGGCTGCAAACTCTGCAAGGCACTGTGTTCGAAAGTAATCGATAAGCAGAAGCGTTACCCAACACTGAACCGCAGTGTGGCAAACAGTTTTACAGCACTCTCAACTCTCAATCTTTTTTTTTAAATATCTGCACGTTGCAAAAGCAAGATAAGTTTTTGCGGAGTTAAGAGTTAAAGCTAATTGCTTTTTAGAGTGGACGAATTATTGGCAAATCCAACTTTTGGACTAATAAAAAGTTGCGTGCATGTATGAATATTTGATTCATTTTACAAAGCATTCAACTTTTTTGATGAATTTTCAATTTGAAGAGGCTTTTGTCTACGAACACCCAAACGCAACGATGAGGCGAATCATTTGGCAAAACTTTTTAAATATTCATAAAATTCCAGCAGACAACTTTCCAAATTTAATTAGTCAAATGAACGAAACGTTCAGCTCACTTCAGCTCAGATTATGCAGACAATAGAGTTTAGCCCTTAGAGATTTACTACTTATTTAGCATGGGACTCAGCTCAATTTAAAGTTTGAAATAGATTTGTAATTAATGCAAAAAAAAGCAACTAGCTTACATGTGAGAAGGCGTGCACTTTTCCGATTGCACACTGTACACTTTATGGCAAGAAAAAAGGACGAATAACAACGGCTAATGGCAAGCCATAGTTTAAATACCCTTATAAACTTGCTTCTATAAAAAACTTTGTTCCCAATCGATTGTTCCCAAAGGAAGGTTATAATAAAGTAGTTTGATTGTATAGCCATGCAAGGCAAATAGAAAGGCGCGTTCTTTTCGAGTTCGGTTGTTCGATCTAGTCGGTTCCGGAATATGAACTGCCTAAACAGAGAGATGGACTTATGCTTATGGCTTTAAAACATAAAGACTAGTTTACATAAAAACTGACAGACGGAGAGAAGAACTTGTCGGGGTCGGATATACCTTCTTTCATGTATTACAAACAAGAGCATAGCAGCAGAAAAGAATAGAATAAAAAACCAGTAACTTATTTCAGAATGAAATTCAATTTGAAATATAAAGCCAATTGGCTACAGAGAGGCAAAGGGTATATACCAGTCGCATACGCCCGACCAGCGCATTAGTACATCTTTACATTTACGTTCTATGCTCGTACGTATGCCATATAAGCCCGTTTGGGTTTATGGCCGGCAATCTATTGCCATTTGTAGGCTGGCAAATACGTTTTTGCGCCTCGTTCTGCCCATTTGCCATTTACGTTGGCCGCAATGTGCGCAGGCGAAATCGAAGTTTTATGCTAATTTCTGTAACAGCACACACACCAACACACACACACATGCACACCTACACACAAACACACATGACAAAGCGTCAATCTTGTTGCTCTTTGCAGCATTCCATTTCCCACTGACTGAAAGGACCTTATCTGTTAGTCGGACGCCTGTCAACACAAGGTATTACAAGGCAATTACGAATTTGTTTATGGCACTGAAATCTGAAATTTTTGCGGCTGTGCCGAGCTTAACCAAAGATCTCAACAATTTACAGAAAAGCAAGCAATACCCACCTTTTTCTAGTTGTTCAACGCGTCTCACTTCAATTTGCCAATTAAATAGGAATTCACCTAGAAATAAAGTACAAGAAAACAATTCAATTTGTGTACTTTATATTTTTCGAAATCGGTTTAATAATATGTTGAGTATTTTGGCCAGCATTGAATTGCAGGCTGTACAAATAGTGTTGGAAAGCAAGCAATAAGCGCATTTTACTCAACACGGAGCCGCACTGTTAAGTTCAATTTCCAGCACTGGCACATAGCAGAGATTTTTCACCTGATTTTCGTTTTTGTGGCTTTCAGAGTAAAAGTTTAGGTGTTCTTTTTTTTTTTAAGAAAAGTCCTAAATAATTGGTATGAAATTTGCTCAGTAGTCAAGAAATTTAGAAAGCTTGTTAACATGGACACTCCACAAGGAAATCAGTTGACTTTTGTGCAATTGATTGGAAAAGAATTCGAAAATGAGGAGGTCTATATATCTAGGGATTTGAGTGTCGGGCACACGTAGCCAATGTAATCAACAGCTGTAATCAAGGTCCACACATGCAGAGCCACAAATTACTGCACACAAGTCAAGCCTTATAAATTGTACACTCCATCCATAATAATCCTCTTCCACTCAACCACCTAGAACGCTGTCCCAAGTGCCCAAGGGGTAGCAACGGAAGGCGGAGGCGAGAAAGAAAAAAGTGCGTCACTTAAAAGTTTTGCACTCACTTGACCAGAAACTTTTATTTTCTGTTAGGAAATTTCCCACGGGTGCCCAAAAGCCAGTAACAAAATGTACGTAGTGCGACGAATAAAAGTTTTCGTGTCCACAAATTGAAAATATTTCACAGTCATATTTAATTTTAGTAGAGCTGCGACGTCACAAATCTCAGAGGTAATCAAACAGATTGAGAGCCGCATTTTGTTCAATTTCATTTGGCGCAAAGCCCTCAGCTACACACAAATCCATATGTACACATGTATATATTTATGTATAGTATCTTTACTACATACATATATTTAATTAGACTCGTAAGTGATCGCCTGGTCGTCGACTTGGTTTATATTTCAGCCTTCTTGACTTTGTCGTCTGCAAATTTAACGCAGCACAATAAAAATGTCAAACTACGTACACAACTTTGCGGACAAAAAAGAACAACCAATGGCGCTGTAGGCAGGCATGACTGACTAGAATATACCCTCTACTTAGCACAATTACAATTTAAGAATACACATATTTTTTAATAGAATTTTTATAATAATATTGTAAATATATAGAAAAAGTAAACACCACAACTAGCTAAATCATCAGCAAATGTGTTATTAAATAAATTTGTGTGGATTTTATGTAGGATATTTTTTTACTAAAGTCTTGTTTTAAAAGTCCTACTTTTTAAAGTTTGTAAATTAATAAATTAAATTTCCTTTAATATATTTTGTGTTTTTATTAAATTCTTTGGAACTAAAAGCTGGGGTAAGCTCCAACAAGAAAATAGGCCATTCTCGAATTCTTGTTTGAAACAATAAGAATATTATTAAAATTTGAATTTTCAAGCAATTTAACAAAATATCGTTATTACAAAAATCATTGAATTTCAATACAATTTTTAATTGTTTTCAAAACTGGAGAAAAGTAGAAGGAAAAACTTCAACAATAAAAATACCAAAAAAATAATTGGTTTTCTTCCAATTCCACTAACTTTTACAAACCAATCCAACCCATTTGAGCGAATCCCCTAAGTGCAGGGTATTGAAAAAAGGAAGTAATGAGCACATAGAGAAAGCAAAACTAAATAAATAATTCAGTATAAAATGTCAGGAGCATCAGAAGCGTTCATCATGGTGACTAACAAGGAGAGTGTGGAAGGGAATCGGCGTGGACTCCACTCTACTCCACGGCTCGGCCGAGGACCGTGGAGCGAGGAGCGAGGGAACGTCTCACAATTTCAGCGGAAATGGGATGACAGCGACAAGGACGTAGTGGAGGCGGCAGATGCATTCAAGGAAGCAATTGTATTGTCTGACTGCTGTTTTCCACTTTACTTTGCCACGCCTTGCAGCCCCCTGCACCCTCGCTGCGCCGCCCCTCGCCCCATCGCGCTGTGTGTAACTTGTTGACGTTGATAGTTGTACGTGCCGAAGGTGAATGGCATCTGTGGACGCGAAATTGAATTCGTGCCTGGCAAGTTTCACACACAACTGAATTGAGTCACAGCGACAAGGCGTCAGGAGATGTCCTGGCAGGTGCTGCTCCCTACCGTTGGCTAGTGTTCCAGTGCTTGCTGCCTGCTGACTGGTGCCTGTTCCTGGCTCTGGCTCTGGCTCTGGCTTTACCCGCTGACTTCGATATTTTGTCGCATTACGTTGACAATTTAGATGTTTGTCTGCGCGCATTCTCGCAGGATTCAATTTCGAAAATGCAGCCCGGAAAATTTGCAATGCGTGCGAAGTGCAAGCGCTCCCCGCTGTCAAACAGAAATGCGCGCAGACAAAAATCATTCGACTAACGCTCAAGGCCCACGTGAAGGCGGAGGGGGAGGGGGGAGGGGGGGTTGTCCGCGTCGTACTTTCCAGTCATTCATTAGAAACCATAATGTGCCACACAGTGTGCCCAACAAAATCTGCCATGTACCAAATAAAAATTGCAACACTTTTTATTCTGTTCTACTCGAGAACTGTCACACGCCAAGCCAAGCGCAAGGGTTGCGCCCCGCCCCACCGCTCCCCGCGCGACCCGCATCTAAGCCCTAAACCCTTGGAAATTGTAATGTGAATGTCGCTGGCAGCGCAAACCCAACTGGCATTTCATTGTTGTGCTTTTTTCACTACATTCTATTTTATATAATGTGTCTCGAATGTGTGTGTGTGTAAGAGGGTGTGTGTGTGTGTGTGTGTGTGTGTGGGAGGGTGTGGGTGTGTGTGCGTTCTATCAAAGCGCAGGAAACACGTGCGGGTAAAACATTTTTCAAGCTTTTAGCGCTGCATACAAATCAACCCCAAAAAACAAAACAAGCCAAGGGAGCGGGTGCCAGGGGGGAATGGGTGCCGGGAGGCGGAACTAAAATCCCATTCACAATAATTTGTTGAACTTCATAAGAGCCCAAAAGTGCTGGGATGATAAGAAGCTTTCCTACTCAGCAATCTGTTGCATTATGATTACGCTAAACTCACTCATCTGAGAGATTCACAAAATGTGATAACAGTAATCACCGGAGTCGAGGCAGGTGAACGACAAATCACGTTGATGCACTGCATCAAGCTAATGAATGGCAATTTCAAGGGCAAAGCCAAACAAATCATGACCTGCGACTAGTTTAGCAGAGCGCAAATAAAGACTCCGGCTTTAAACAAGACCCAAGCGAAACTCAATTAATCCAATTGAATCCAATTTAGTTTCGCTATTATCTTGCAAAATGTTCCCATAATTGAAATTAGCAAAAGTAGAGTTACGAAATACCCTGTACCCAGCTTTGAACAAGAAGACAGACTCATCTCTGCAGAGGTTCGTTCTGCCCTCACCTACACGCTATGGAAAATGCATTCTTGGACAACTTCGCTACTTATAAGATTCTCAAAGATCAAAAGGATATCCAAATAACTGTATCTCCGGTATCAAAATTTGAATATTTTCTTTTGTTTATATGAATAAATATTAGCTAATATAATTCATCTTTATTTGAAAGAGTTGCTTACATACTTTACAGGGGTGCACGGTGCTCTAGCAATAACAGATTTGATTTACAGTTTTTAACCTGTTTACTTTGACATTATGTTCGCTCTCGAGGTCAGACAGTCGGCGTTCACTGTTAAGTAACAGAATTATAGCAAGAGGGGTGAGTTTTAACAGCAAATGTAAGCATTAACATAACAGCGGATAAAATTTAGCAGCACAATTATCAATGTGCATCTTAAGCTTATGAGGTCAAACTCCACTTTTATTTAATCGGAAATTTATTAATGAGTTATATATCTTGAAATTTTAAATGGCTGGCATTTGAAAGCTTTAGTTATTTAATATTTAAGGTTTTTTAGGGCTTTGCCCCAGTTCTAACCCAGCAAGAAAACAAAAGTTGTTCAGAGCCAACTCAACGCCAAACTGTTGCTCCTTTTAACAGAGCTGCATATTCACCACGATAACAGCAGACGAGAGAGCAGGCGCTTGCGCACAATTTCCGCACGAGCTGCTGTTACAGCGAGTGGGTGAGAGGCGTACTCTCTCTCTCTCTCTCTGTCTCTCGCTCTCTGCTTATTGGCGGTTGTTGTGGGCAGTGTTGAGGCCGATGCGCGTCGGCTACTCGTTACAGCTGTCGCTGCTGCTATTTATGTTCTCGTCGGCAGCATTGCCACCGCCGCCGCTGCCGCCTCTGCTGCCGCTGCTGCTGTTGCTGTTGCAGCTGCCGCTGCTGAGCCACACTCAGTCTGCTTGTTACATTTGAATCGCATGGTGGACTCGGTCGGCTTCGTGTCTCGTGTGGGCCGGCAAACTGAGATTTTCGAAATACGAGTTTTGTGCACGTGTGTGGCAATTACGAATCGCCCGAACACCCAACCCGCTACCCTTTGACCAACTAGCATTCATAGCCTTATTCCATTTGCCCGCACTTCCCCGCCGCAATGTCCAAGCGGACGTCGTGTTGAAAGCGCCCAATGTAAATATGTGCACACATGCAGCCACATAAATTAAATGCATTTAAATCCGCAAAAGATTCAAACTAAAGTCAAAATACTACAATAATTAAGGCACAATATTCGCCAGCACAAAACACTCGCACACACACACACACACACACACACAAGCACGCACACACACATATAAATATATATAGTGTGCTATTACAGGGAAATGTGCTGTGGCGACATCTGTTGGACGACGTGTGTGTGAATTCCAATTTCCGCTCAAAGCGCAGACTTTAAGCAACCTTCATCCGGTTTTTTCAGTTTATTTTATTTTATTTTTTTGTGTTTTGCTCTGTTTTGGGTCTCGATTGCGTCATTTTTAATTAAGTTGTTCCTTTTGCGTAAATCCCAACCATTTTGCGGCTATTTATGGTGCTTTTTTTAAAGCAGCTAATCACAGAATTAAACTAGGTAAGTGTTTTATTATATTTATAAGATAAAATTAGATATCGTGGAATATGTCAAAAAAACAATTTGCAAAAATGACACTTAATTTAATTTTGCAATTTTGAGCTATATATTTACAGGTACTCTTACTTCTTAGTAAAAATACATATATATATTTCGTTTCGAATTAATTTTAAATTAACTCGAACTTTAGCATTAAGTGTTGCCTAGTTTTCGGCGTTCGACTTGGACAGGTGACTTCAGCTGTGCACAGCTTAGGTACTTTGTGTTTTATATATCTACAAGACCTCCTTTTCAAATAGTAGTAAATGCTATCAATAACAAGAATTATGATAAAGAGCTGCATATTTTTCAATATGCTAGCCCTGCGGCAAGCATTGTCTGGTTATAGTTAAAGCTAAGCCCATTTATTTATCGCAGCGATAAACTAAACGAAACGAAATTTCAATTTCCTTCTCAAAATATCCATAGAAATGGCTATTGAAATGAAAGGCTTAGCCCTGTGCCGCTTTCAAGATAAACAACAGCAGATACAGCATTAAAATGGCAACTTTAACCTTGGCCAGTGGTCAGTGGGCGTTGGGGATGGGTAGATGGGGTCATGGGGCATGCAACCGCATCAAGGCCACAGCCGTCAATGCACAAACACGGCCCCTTTATGGCATGTACTGGCACGCCCAGTGTTTGTTATTTGTTATTTTTACTGTACACATGACAATAACGCCGCCGGCTGCCGATGCTGTAGCCGGGCAAGGAAACGTCGTTGCAGGATGCAGGCGCCCGGGCTGGGACCGGCGCCCAGACCAGAGCCGTACACTGGCCAAAGAGTAGTCGGCTTGTGGCAAGTGCAATAGTTTTGAGTGGACGGGGCAACTTTTTCCATTATGAATGGTGCGGTTGCGCTTTTGCCCCATTCATTATTTACGAGTTTCGAGTGCAAACTTGTTTCGCCAGCAAACAAGTGGCGGCCAGAGAATTAGAAGCGCCGCTCGACCGCTTAAAAAGAACGAATGCCGCTATGAGACGGCACTTCAAAGCAGCACTCTGCAGCTTGCTCTGCGCTCTGCGCTCTGCGGCTAAGTGCTAAAGTTTTCTGCCATAAACCAAGACAAAAGCAAACGCCCACATTGAGTTGAGAAATCGCAAGAAACAAAAAAAAAAAAAAAACAAATAACCAACTAAATGAACAAATCCAGAATCTACAATCGTTATGCGTGCTGTTCAGC